CAGCGAGCGGACGAAATCGTCCGTTTGCCGAAGCACAGCAAAATTGTCTTTTTGGTTGGTCAGTAGCCGGCCTTAATTCCTGGTGGCTTGCTAAGGCGAGGGGTTGGGGAACCCTTGCCTCAGCGAGCGGACGTCATCGTCCGCTTGCCGAGGCNNCTATGCTTTTTGGTTTGCTAAAACGAGGGCTCCGGAGCCCTCCTTTCAGCAAACCAGAAACCATAGGGAACCCCGCCCTCAGCGGACGGACGCCCTCGTCCGCTTGCCGAGGCGAGGGCTCCAGCGCCCCCTGCCTTAGCGGACCAAAACTGATTTGGTATCATGTTTTGCAAATGGCAGTGGCTCTTAAGCAAATCTTTCTGGGCTGCCAGAAGGCCTGCTTCAGGGCCCCATTGGAGGCCGCGGCATCCAAGGCCTGCAGGAGCCTCCCGGGACTCCCGACGCCAGAACCTGCTCTAACCGTTAAGAAGAAGCTCCCAAATCGCAAGTTCTCTAGGGTTTGACAATACCCGGCCTTTAAACACGTTTGATCCGCTTAACTAATCCGGAAATAACTGATAATATAATTAATACTTTATTATAAATTAATTATTAATTATAATAAAGGAAATCGTTGTCGTAGCCGTCCTCGTCCTGCAGGTAAACCCTAGACTCCCTAGACCCTGTACACCCGGAACCTTAACCTAAAACCCTGAGACTTTAAACCCTGATACATTAAAGTTATGTACTAAAAAAGTTTTTTGAAACTTTTGCTGCCCTGCCAGGACAAGCCGTCTGTGGCCCTGGAATACCCGCCGCTTCAGGAGTTCCACGATGTGTTGCAGCCGATGGACCGGTGCCTGGCCTTGTCGTGTTCCCTTGTCATTTTTTAATAGGCATTCTATGCTAGGCCTTTTTTTTAAAAAGGACGTTGTAGTGTTGAATGACGAGTCGTTCAGGCCGGCTCAACGTGCTGCGTACTGGTATTGGAGGCTGAACGAGACCAAGGCCCGGGAGCTCTTGCGTCTTGCCAGCATTCGAAAATCGAACTGTCGTTTGNNTTTGAACTTGACGCCAGTCGTCGGCTGTTCCCCCGCCAAATTTCCGTTAAGTCGCCTGTTCTGAGACGCCCCAGGCTCTTCATGAGGGGCAACAATAAAATCGGCAACCCCTCGGGCTACCTGACAAAGATCGTTCGGGACTACAGCGACAGGCCGGCGGAACATTGACTCTTCAACAGACTTTTGTGCATAAGTAATTTAAAACCCGAGTCCTGTCCGATAAAAGGCTTGGTAATGCTCATGGCAAACAATGGTGGTCGGCGGAGTGCCTCCGTCAGGGATTTTATTGTCGTTGTCGTCGTTTTCTACTTTTAATTACTGTAACTGTAATGACTGCGCCTCCAAGGTACCAACAGTCCAGAAAGCGCCCAGCCTGAGACACTCCAGTGCGGCCAGTGAAAAAGGATTGGCAGCCGGGGAGCGCTTTGCCATTAGGTCTGTCTTGTGTGCTGCACTGCATCTCACCACTGCTCTCTTTCGATATGCTGGGTGTCTTA